AGTGGATGAACAATGCAAATTATAAATTACATACCCAAATTATTTATACAAGTAACAAAAATAATTGATAAAATTAATAATTTTATTTTACTTATCATTGTTTAGCCAGTTCATAGTTTGCTGAACAAATTATACTGACTAGTAATATAATTCACTCAAGAGCAGTACATTATTTTAGCAATTAAAAAAAAAATTCAGACTCCAACTCATTGAAAAACTGAAAGAGAAACTAATAATTAATTATAAAAACTTTATAGGCATACAAATTTTTATGACTATGTGATGCAGTATTTGAAAAATATTTTATTGTATTAAAATTTACTATAAGCAGAATTTTTTTTATTTTGTTTCAGAAGTACTGGAAACTTATCGATAGATGATGAAACAATGCGAACACCTACTGCATAACATTGAAGTCGTAGTAGTTGCTGAAAAAGTAGAGGGAACCCCACAAAAGACAAAAAATTCCCCCAAGTTTACCACTAAAAAGGAAAATGGTGAAAACCAAATATGTGAATTCTAAAATAGTGAAATATTTGACAGCAAAGAAGGAAAAGGATCCATTGGCCAGCTTTTTGAGTCTAGAAAACAAACTGTGCACAGACTTCCCAAGGCCAAACAAGTCCAAGTCAAAAATTAGTAATATTTCATTTCTTAGGTACGAGCGCCAAGGATATGCCAATAAGCGAACTTAATTGCTATCCTACATGGCATAACCATTAAACGACCGGACTGAACGAAGCAGTACACCGGGGTAACTCCTACTCTTCTCTGACGATGTACTGAGTTCTTTAAAGTGCACACGAGCCAAATGTGTATGTCGGGCCTACGTTTTAAAGTCCTCAACCGAGAAGACTTGTTCCACCACCGGAACCATTGACTTGAATAATAATATATGGATTATAATATTTTAATTACATTATTTATATATGGTTAGTTAAACCTTGTGAACATTATTAATTAGTGGTCAATATTAATATTAAAATAAAATTTCCAAATTTAAATTCCACATAGTTTGCTAACGTCGGTAAGTTTCAAATAATATCTGGTTTAACCACAAGAACAATTTGTATATAAATGTGAAATTGTTAATAAATACAAGAATCTGTTGTACAATGTCAAAATTGTTGTTTGTATGCTTACTCTGATTTGATTTAGTTATTTTAATTAAAAATGTACTGTTCCTCACAAATAGTTGCATTTTTATTTTGAATTGCTTATTTATAATGATCACAAAAGTTAAGAACTGTCAATAAGAAAGGTTGCAAAAATAAATTAGTGGTATGCTATAAATACTGTTATAACAAATTTTCTGGTAAGCTTATAGTTCATGATAGAGTCAACATAAAGTAGTTTAGATGGGACTAAAGTGCAAGTGCTGCTGTAGGATGTATTTTTGGGGAGGGGCTGAGTGAGATAAGGATAACTGTGGCACGCATTGCCATCTGAGGGCCTTCCGACCAAGCCGGGTGGATGGTTTGGGAGGGGGTATCCTAATGAGATTTTTTTTTTTCAAATAGAACCTCTGGATATCCAGAAATGGCGCTCTCTCAGACTGGAAAAATACTTTTCAGTATTTGATAAAGTACAATTAAGATCTATCAACTCAGCTCAATAAACACTCATTTCATTTCATTAGGCCTACTTTTTTTTTTTGGTCCGACTGCCCAACAAACTCTAGTCGTCGGAGGGCTTGACAT